TTTTTCGTTATTACAAAGTATGACACAAAACATTAAACGGCCCCCCTCCCCCCCCCCCCCCCGATCTAAAGGGTCTGAGTTTTAGTGCTCAAAGATTACAGATTGACAAACCTGCTCAGACCAGTGGTAGAGCGATTTAAACAAACTTTTCTAACCCTCTGTTAACGAAGGCTCACCACTAATTAACTGGTAGTTTCAGTTTTCATGTTAGGAATTACTTTAGTGACAAAGACAGTGAGTCGCTACGATTCTGTTTTCATCCATTGACAAAAAACAAACAAACAAAAAAACAATTTTGTCAAACTGTAAAACATATGCACTTGATGGAAATTAGATTCTAGTATAATCTTATTTTAGCAAGAAAGTGTTCTTCATAAAACATCTTTAGCTCTGAAATGTAATAAAAAATTTATTCAAATAAAAGTTTCACATGGAAAGTGTTTATTACAAAGTATGACACAAAACATTAAACGGTTTCCTTAACTATATCAAATGGTGACTTCTGACAGAGTTTACTCCGGTAGTTTTCCAGTTATTTTGATCTGCAGTTCTGAAATGCGGGTCGGTGCTCAACGTAAACAAACCAGAATCAGCTGAATCTGTCCAAAACCACGTGGACGATGGAGTCACATGACTGACATTAGGCCGGCTGTATGTAGTCTGTGTTGGTGAATGAATCTGGTCAGTAAATTTAAAGTCGGACCCATTTTCAGGCTGTTTTTGTAAGTAAACAAATGTTGACAATCGTCACAGATTTTGCTGTAAATTTTTCATTTAAAGACACGGTTGCCAAAATGTTATGTGGATTGTTTCGTACATTTGCAATTTTTTGTCTTCATATTGTTTTCAGTAAATATCTTATTAGTTTTCCAACTTTAAAAGCAAATCAGAACTGAGTGTGTTGGATGATTTCTCCAGGGCTCAGATCCTCGTTTGCACAAAATCCAGAGGTTTTCTTTTGTCTTTATTGACTTTAAGCAGCCTGACAACATTTTGCTGAGATTCACGGTCGGGTCAGAACTTCTATTTAAATCTATTTAAATGATTTTCCTCTGAACTGAAACTGAATGTTTTTACATCAGTTAAATCAGAAGAGTCTTTCTGAGGGTGTGTCTTGTGTGCAACTATAGTTATATACGAGAGAGTGACAAAACTGTGAGTTAAATAAAACTGATCCAAATACCAGAAACCACTGGTTTGTTTACTTGCTGTCAAAATAAACCTGAACTGATACAAAATGAGCAGAATGAGCACATTTTTAGCAAAAAAAAAGGCTTTTGTTTGCTTCAATATTTGATTTTTAATGATTTAGTTGTCAAGTGTTTCTCCTCCTAATCCGATCTGTTTGTTTTCAGTTCTCCAGAGATCAGTTCATCCTGGACTGCTCTTTAGAGAAGCTGCGCAGGGAGCTGGAGGAGGAGCTGAAGATGAACAGCGAGGAGCCGAGGAGCCACGCTTGGTACCACGGAGCCATTCCCAGACAGGTAAAACACACACACACACAAATCTGAGTCACAAGTCCCTCCCTTTAAAAGTGTCGTGAAAAACTTGTTGAACCAGATCACCTGCAGTGCAGCCCATGCAGAGATTACAGAGAGTCTAGATTGAGCAGCAGCCGAACTTCAGCTCGGTGCACAGAAAGCCCTCTCTCTGTGTGCTGATATACTGTTTGTGTTGGGCTGAGTGTGTGTCCTCTGAGAGCTGGTGCTGAGAAGTTATCGGTTTAATAAGCTGCTTCCTTTGGCTAAACTAAACTACCATTATACACTAAGCAAACACTCGCTTAATTAAAGCCTTCAGTTGTGTGTGCAGGCCTGCGTTTCTGTGGGAAAGAAGCAGAATGAAGGCCGTCATTGAAGCAAGACGGAACGAGAAGACAATTTTCAAATGTATACTTGTGCATTTATAGTAATTTATTTTTAAAGGAACAAGAACAAGTAAACTTACCAGAGTAACCCTAAATGCTATTTTTTAATCAAAATGTTTTTATTTTATGTGATTAGGCATCCAACATTTAAACATATGGGTTTTATGATTTTTCCCTGACGCCTTCTGGGGTGTAAGGGGGCCAAAATTAAAACCTTTTTTGAACTAAGGGCCGGTTTCAGAATCTACATTAACTAAAGTTAAGACACCCGTCATCTTTTCTGGGTGGCAGCTTCCTCAACAAGAATTTGACTGGTCTCATTTGACATGATCTGTTGCACCTTTGACATCATAATCAAAGATTACAGATTACAAGTGAAAAAACTATTTTATGTTGAACATATCATCTTGGTGTCCAGATAAGATGTCCACGGGGGCCACATTTGGCCCCCGGGCCTTGAGTTTGTCACATGTGCCTTACATGTTCTTGTTCATTTAACCTTTTTTGCAACATTTCAGGTTTTAATTTCTGCTCCCTCACTCTGTTTATTTAATGGTGTTTATGTTTTTAATACAAGCTGAAATCTAAAAACTGAGTTTTCCATTATTGTTGTACTGTATTAGTCCAGATTATACTGCAAAATCTAATCCCACACTCGTGCTGTCCATTGGGGAAAAAAACATAAATTTAATAATAATTTAAACATCGAGATTCAGGAGTGATTTTGAGATGGAGTTTTGCTCAGTACCATATTTTTTGGCCTATAAGTTGCATTTTTTTTGTGCATAATTTGCATGCCCTGCAACTTATACGCCCAAGAGACATATTGATGAATTTTTGCCATATTTCTAAACCAATTTTTGGCTGAGATATGACCGTTTTCATTCATTCTGACTGAAAATATTGAACACTACCATTTTCAGCCGCTAGATGGCACTCGAATGGTATGGCATGCCACTGTGTCATGTAGTAGGCAAAAGTGGCTCTTAATGACACAATCGACTTGCCATAGACTTCCACTTTCATCCAGCTCGCCTGGAGCAAAATCAGCTTCATTTAGCTGCACCACCCTGGCAAAATGCAGCTAATTTGACCATTGAAGTGCAAACAAATGATTGTTTTTATGTGTTTATCCTGTTAAATTTCGAAGCAACACACAGCAAGTTGCCCTCTGCGAGTTCATGTTTCCGCATATTGACTTTTGAAATGCAGCTGATTTCACCGTCAAAGTGCATTTATTAAGGAAAAGTTAAACTGAGACACACCTTTGCTATAATTTCGAGCAAACAAATAATTGTTTTTAAGTTTAATCTTGTTAAATTATTGTTAAATTCCTCCCGTGCACGCTCCCACGGCTTCCAATTGGCAGTCAATCGATTTTTGGCACAACACCAGCCCAAGTTTCCAGGTTGTCAGCGGTGACGCATAATAAATGCAACGTATTTAAGGATTTTTCCACTTTATTAGACATATTTGGACAGATGCAACTTATAGCGGTGTGACAAATTCGGCGGAATATACGGTGAATGTCTCACAGTAGTCGTCACTTGACTGAAGTGCTAAACCAGTCGGCTCTGAGAATCACCGTTATTAGATGTAATGAAGTGTTTGGAGTAGAAACAGCCTCCGTGTGACACCGTGTGCGTGTTCATGTGTATTTGTGTATCCTAACCTCCAGGCTGCAGAGAGCCTGGTGCAGCGTGACGGAGACTTCTTGGTCAGTGATTCAGTTTCCAGCCCAGGAAGTTTCGTTCTGACCTGCCAGTGGAGAAACGCTGCTCAGCACTTTAAAATCAACAAGAAGGTAAAATAAAAGTTATAAAATTTGTTCTCCACAGTTCAGTTTGTATTTATTTGGAGCATAATGCTGCGTCTTACACCTCCAGCTAACAACGAGACAAAACGTACATCTTTGTTTTGTCTTGTCCAGGTGGTGATGCTGAACGAGGCTTACTCTAGAGTTGAGTACCGACTCGACAGAGAAGGATTTGACAGCGTTCCTGCACTCATCAGATACTATGTTGGCAACAGAAAACCAGTCTCGCAGGTAGCTTTCAGGATTGTTTCGTTATCATACTTCCTGGCTTTTTTATTTTTAGTAATGCAATAGTGGTTTAGAAATCTGAATGTAATCTTAGTTGTTGTTGTTTTAGTCTGACTGCTTTTCTTGTCTTGAATACTTACCAGTAGTAGTATAATAATCAACTACTGTTTATCAGTTTAATATAAAAAATTAAAGTTTTTAGGTTTTAAAACTGCAGTTTTAAATAGACACGTTGCACTGATAGGCCAGCTGACCCCCACCTTCTCTTGTTGTTGGGAATTAAAGTGAGCAGGAACTGTTTTCCAGAATCCAGAGGCTACAGGGCTTTATTTTTAGGACCAGAGACTGCACATTGTGGAGCTTTAAGCCCCGCCCACTTCCTTGAAAAAAATCTAGTTATGTATACTTTTTTCTTTAAGAAAAAACTAATTACAGCTAAACTTAATAAGAAAATGAATATTTGAACAAGCAGGTAACAACTTTGTGAATTAACAAGACAACACCTGAAAACAAGATTTCAGGTATGCTTTAAATTTTTAACATGGGTCCCATTAATTTACATGAAGGGGCGGAGCTAAAACTTGTACTAGAACCAGCCAACAGGGAAGCTGGTCTCTAGTTGGCTTCAACTTCCAGGTTCCAGTTAGAGGTTTGATTATAATTTAGTCTTTGGTTTATGCCAGCTGAACTCACATGCAAATCCCTCTCCTCCCCTCTGAAGAATGTTAAGGTCTTTGTTGGCCTGGTCTACATACGAGATGCTTTGTCTCAAAAACTGGTGTGAAACTAGAATCAGAACTGCTTTCTGTTTTGGAAAGTTGACCCTCAGAAGAGAGGGGAGGGAGAGTGATTTGCATGTGAGTTAAGCTTACCTAAACAGAGCTTTTGTTTCTGCCTCTCCTCTGAAGGTGGTGGGCGCCATCATCTTCCAGCCGATCAACAGGACGATGCCGCTGCACTGCTTGGAGGAAAAATACGGGCTGTCGAGCAACCACAAAGAGGCGGGGCTCACAGAGCAGGAGAGGCGGGGCCAAAAACGCCTCAGCCTCAACATAAACAACGGGCACACGCACAACAACGCACACACCACGCAGAACGGCACGCACTGCCAGGATGGTGGATTGATCCGACACAACCAGCTCCGGTTTGTACAGCAGGAAGTCACACGAACACACAAAGTTCACAACAAACACACACATTCCTCCCTGGCTTCAATTAAGACAGCTTGTTGGTTTTAGACTACAACTCGCTAAATGTGTCAATCTGTTGCACTGGGTGAGCTCTGAGTTAAAGGCAGCGCATGCAACAATGGCTTTATCTCAGCCAGTTTTACAGATACTGAGCAAAGATTTGCCGTGGTAGTAGCTGAGAGTCATCCTCAACACATGGACGTCTCATATCACATGAGATCACATGTAGCATTATTTTCCAAAGTCTGACCAAAACAAACAAAACTCCATTATTCCTCAACATAAAATGATCTTGTGCTTAAACTCTGATATAACTGAATTGTAATTTTCTTTAATATAAATTACCCTCCCACATTTAAACTTTAAACCTGTGGCGTCGAGGTGTTAACATCCATCACTCCGACCCATAGCAGTTTATACAAAATGTTTCATGTGTATCTGAAGTCTTCTAGAAATAAATGTGCGAGAAGAAACACACGTGTCTTTGTTAAACAAGGATTAACCATAAAGACATAAAAACAGGAGCAGGATGTTCGGAGTCCATACTGGTGTCAGAAGAGTTAATGCACGAAGCAGATCAGAACAAAGACAAAACAGAAGAGATTAAAAAGATTTAAGACGGACATTTTTAATCTGGTTTCCCATTTTTATATTTTTGCTCTCAGGCTGAAGGATCGCTGCGGCAGCCAACCAGCAAGTCTGAACCAAGTCCAGGAGAAGCGACGTCCACTGAAGGCCCACCAATCAGAAAGCTTCTTACCTCTGGGTGAGAAACAAACCAACATCTCTGCACCGCCCTTCAAAATAAAAGACCATCAAAGCTCACTCATTCTTCACTGTTCGTTTTTTCAGGATCCAAGCCCCTGCCCCAGCAGCCCCCCGACCAGATCCTCCCAAGCCCCTGCCCCAAGTCTCCGGTGTTTCGGACCGGCAGTGAACCGGTGCTGAGCCCTTCGGTCCAACGCAGATTAGCAGAAACTCAAACAAGTAAGTAAAGATAACCATCTCAAGTCACGCACTGACCCGTTTATTAACTAACCCATCAGAAAACACAAAAACTACTGTAAACACAGCACGCGTCACTTTGACACTATATAGTTATGTAACCTAGAATAGTATCTTGTCAGAAAATAAAGATTTGCAGAGAAAAAAACTTGATAAAAAAAAAGTACTGTATTTTTCGCTGAACGTGTCGCACCGCTCTATAAGTCGCATCAATCCAAATATGTCTAATAAAGTGGAAAAATCCATAAATACGTCCCGTCGCCGTATACGTCGCATCTATTATGCGTCACCGCTGACAACCCGGAAATGTGGGCCGGCATTATGCCAAAAATCGATTGGCTGTCAAATGGCAGCCGTAGAGGTGTACACGGGAGGACTTTAACAAGATTAACAATTAAAAGCAATTATTTGTTTGCTTGAAATTATAGTAAATGTGTGTCTCAGTCTAACTTTTCCTTAATAAATGCACTTTGACGGTCAAATCAGCTGCATTTCAAACGTCGATAGGCGGAAACATGAATGTGCAGAGGGCAACTTGCTGTGCATTTCTTTGAAATTTAACAAGATAAACAGATAAAAACAATAATTTGTTTGCTCGACTTTATAGTAAAGGTGTCTCAGTTGAACTTTTACTTAATAAATGCACTTTAATGGTCAAATTAGCTGCATTTCACCGGGGCGGCGCAGCCAAATGAAGCTGATTTGATGGTTGCTCCAAGCGAGCTGGACGAAGGTGGAAGGCTATGGCAAGCCAATTGCGTCATTAATAGCCACTTTTACCTATTACCTACTCGAGTGTCATCTAGTGGCTGAAAATGGTAGTGTGTTCAATATTTTCAATCAGAAAGAACAAAAACGAGCATATCCCAGCCAAAAATTGGTTTATAATTATTGGACAAAAACATAAATATGTTGCTTTGACGTATAAGTCGCAGGGCATGCCAATTATGCAAAAAAAAAAACTGTGACTTATAGGGCAAAAAATACGGTATGTTAAATATAGAAAGTCAAAAAATGAAAACACACGTCATTCTTCCAGTTTCCTTCCAGTCCATGAGTTTAAATGAATGTAATAAAACAGCCCTGTTTCAGACTGCTGTCTGATCGTTTTCGAACTCATATAAATGAATGCAGTCAACTGAGTTTAATTAAAAGGCTAAAAATAAAGCGGTTAGGCTCTCAGAGGACAATAAAAGCTCCTGCGGGACTTTGACATTAATCTGTCACTATTACTGTAAGTACTTGCTCTTGCAATGGCTAGAATTTGCACAGGAAATTAACTCCTGTCCATCTGTGGCTGTTTGATTTATACTTTTCAATAGATTAAATAAGATACACAGTGTGTGTGTCCCTCCATACAACACACATGAAACTGTCCGCAGAACATCAAACGATCAAGTGTTGCAACACTCAGTGTTTTATTAGTTTATAGCTGATGCAAATAATAAACTGTGGTTTTAGGTCAGGCGATCCGAGGTTCAGACAGCCAGCTTTGCCCCAAACCACCTCCCAAACCCAGCAAAGTGGCCCTGGCTCGACTGCCCCGCTCCCCCGGCCTTCATCCCCTGATGCCCCCCTCCACCTCCACCTCCCTGGCTGCAGCTCCTCTGAGCTCTACATGTGTGGAAACTTCAGCTTCCTCTTGGAGGAGTGGAGGTATCTTTTAATGTTTTTTTTTCTCCAAAGGTTTCTAAACTAATCGTTCATCCTGCATTTCACAAAAATGGTAATTTCTCTATGTCCTGATGCTCAATAATCCAGGTAAATAAATCTAACGAGGTTGAGTCAGGTCCTCTGGAATCTGACTGAACTGAATCGTCTTTGTTGAAACGGTTCGTCTTTTATCCAAAAGACTTCTTCAGTATTAGAAGCTGCAACAAACTCAGTCTTATAAACAGCCCCGTCTCATAGTGGATCAACCAGTCTGCTGGTGACAGTCATAACCAGTTGTTCACATGCAAAAGGAGGAACATCAGCCTAACGATCATTAGCACTCTGATAGCCACTTGCTATTCACAGGGGGCTGAGTGATACTAGCAATAACAGCATTGTAAGAGGGGGACAGTTGAACATGGAGGCTCTGCCCCTGTTTAATGATGGATGGTTTCTTTTCACAAAGATGGCCTCCTTTACTCCTGTCTCAAACCATCGTTCCTCTCTATCAAGGATGTGAACATCTTCATCCCTGCACCTGTGACTGCTGGCTTAGAGATGAGTGTAGACCGCAGAGTCCTGGCCTGATGATGTTGATCTTCTGTGCTGGTCCATCCTTTTGGCCAGTGGTTGTTTAGTTTCCGGATGCAAGACTGATCACAGCCCTCCTGACACTGAACAGCATACACAATATTACTCTGTTTGTGCCGGGGGACTGGATCTTTGGGATGAACCAGTCTTGTGCTCCAGAGGATGATGGGAGTCAAACTGCAAATACTGGTCTGTGTGGGTGGGCTTATGGTACACCTCAGTTTGCAAATGTCCTCCATCAGAAACTGAGACCTCACAGTCCAAGAAAGCCAACCTGCCATCTTGTACATCTTCTCATGTGAACTTGATGTATTTATCCACAGAGCTGATGTGATCAGTAAAATGTTGGACTTCCTGAGGTTTAATTTTAACCCAGGTGTCGTCAACATACCTGAACCAATGACTTGGTGGTGTCCCTGAAAAGGACATCAAGGCTCTCTTTTCTACCTCCTCCATGTACAGGTTGGCAACAATAGGAGAAACTGGAGACCCCATAGCACACCCATGTTTCTGCCTATAATATTGCTCCCCATATGTGAAGTAGGTTGACTGCAGGCACAGTTTCAAGAGTTGACACAGTTGTTCTGTGGAAAGTGTGGTCCTGCTGCTCAGAGTGGTGTCTGATTTTAATCTTAAACTGACCACCTCTACTGCATCATCAACAGGAATGCACGTAAAGAGTGATGTGACATCAAAAGAGACCATTGTTTCATCAGTCTCCATGATGACATCCCTCACCTTATCCACAAAGTCCATGGTGTTCCGTATGTGGTGTTCTGAGCTGCCAACTAAAGGGATGAGTACAGACACCAGATATTTGGAAACATTGTAAGTGACAGAGTTAATCATGCAAACAATTGGTCTTAATGGTACACCTCGTTTGTGAACTTTGGGTAAACCATGCAGTTTAGGTGTTGTCTCTCCTGGGTACAGTCTGGAACAGAATATGGTCAATAGCCTTGTCCTGCTCCAAATGTTTCAGGTACTCAATCATCTTCTCCTTGTAACCACTTCCTGGATATCTTTCCAGCGGCTCATAAGTGGTTAAGTCACTAAGTGTCATAACTTTCTCATGATAAGTCTTTTTGGTTTAAAATCACTGTGCACCTTCCTTTGTCTGCTGGGAGGATGACGACGTTCTTGTCCTTGCTGAGAGTGATGAGTGCGTCCCTCTCCTCTCTGCTGATGTTGGAAGGTGGTGGTTTGCCATTGCTGAGGCAGGCTGAAACTTTGTTCCCAAGTTGTTCTGCTTCAAACTCTGATATTTTGTTGCTGCGGATGGCTTCCATCCAGAGGACTTCACTCAATCTAGTTAGATGTAATTTCTCTAGTTATTTTTGGAGACTGTTATCCAGGTGGAACACCTGATTGTATTCAAGTCTTTAATGTTCAGCTGTTGGTTTGATGAACAGTTGAATAATCTGGAGCTGGTACCATTGGCAGTGAAGCAGCCCCACAGCATGATGCTACCACCAGCATGTTTGACAGCTGGTTCTGTTCGGTTTTGCTTAATTTCTTAATGTTAGTCTCATCATTTTTATTTCTATAAACTATAGATCCACTATGTTTGTTGGAATTATACCATTTACAAGAGTTCTAAAATTGTTTACTCTGGGCTCAATAAGATGTGATTATTGTCCCACAGCATCCACAGGACCACCTGTTCCAGTGAAGTCCCAGAAGTTGAAATGTTTGCTCACCCCTGCAGACCCCCACAGCTCTCGTGGTCCTGCAGTTTCACCCCCTGAAGGTGTTCAGTGTCCTGATTCTGAGACAATAACGGAACAGAAAAATCTGCGGCCGAGCCCTGCAGACATGCTACTAAAGTGGCAGAACATCACAAGAGAACACGACCCTGAACGCCACCCACCGATCTGTGGCTACGTGGAGAGACTGAAGGAGGGGGAGAGAGGGACGGGAGATGGCAGGGAGCAGACGGTGAATGGACAGAGACCACTCGACAGGAGCTCCTACCATCACGCCATCGCTGCCTTAGAAAACACCAGTGAGGAAGAGGAGGAGGACAATGGGAGGGAGGAGGAGCATAATCTGAGGGAAAAGGAGAAGTTTGTTTTTCAGCGACCAGTTGTAGAGACAGAGTCTGTCTTCAGACCGGCTGACTTTGGATCCCGACTTCTGCCGCCTGAAAACAAACCGCTGGAGATGGTGGTTCTGAAGAGGGCAAAGGAGCTGCTGCTCAGCCATGACCCTCAGAGCATCGCACAACACCTGCTGATGGCCGACTGTCAGGTACATGAACACAGTTCTATTCAGTTTATTTATATAGCGCCAAATCACAACAAAGTTGTCTCAGGGCACTTTACAAGAACATTCACATACCTAGAAAAGCCACTTAGTAAAGTTCTCTATCTAAGGAAGCCAGCAGACTCGTTGAATCTTCACTTTGTTGCAGTCTCCCATCCTGAGCAAGCATAGTGGCAACAGTGGAAAGGAAAACTCCCTTTTAAAAGGAAGAAACCTCCAGCAGAACCAGGCTCAGGTTTATCTCAGTCCCATCTCTGTTGAACCATGTATCTCTACAACTATAAGCAGTGATGACTTCATGAGATTCTTTATAAATAAAATTATTTCTATTAGAGAGAAATTTCAAACCATCCTTCCTACTATTACCCCTGGTTCCCCATCAGATGATGCAGCTTTAGAGATATTACTGGAACCTGATTTGTATTTGGACTGTTTTTGTCCTGTTGCGCTCTCTGAATTTTCAAAAATAATAGCTTCATCCAAACCATCCACGTCTGCTAGATCCCATCCCAACCAGACTGTTTAAAGAGGTATTTCCCCGAACCGATGTCCACATTTTGGATCTACTTAATTAGTTTTTAATGAATAGTTACGTACCACAGTGCTTTAAGGTTGCTGTAATTAAACCTTTACTTAAGAAGTCTGACCTTGATTCAGAAATCCTAGCCAATTATAGACCTTTTAATCTAATCTAACTTTCATCTCAAAAATTCTAGAGAAATAGTTGCAGGTCCGTTGTGCGAACATCAACAAAGAAATAATCTGAAGAGTTTCAGTCAGGGTTTAGAGCTCATCATAGCACAGAAACAGCACTAGTAAAAGTCACTAATGATATTCTCATGGCCTCAGACAAGAGATTTGCGTCTATCCTGTTAGACCTCAATGCTACATTTGATACAGTTGATCACAATATTTTACTACAGAGGCTTGAATATGATATCGGGATTACAGAAACAGCTCTAAAATGGTTTAAATCATATTTATCTGATAGATTCCAGTTTGTAAATATAAATAATGAATCTTCTTCATACACCACAGTTAATCACAGAGTTCCTCAGGGCTCACTGCTTGGACCAATACTCTTTACTTTATATATGCTTCCATTAGGTAAAGTTATTAAACAGCATGGGCTAAATTTCATTGTTATGCTGATGATAGTTATATTTGTCCATGAAACCCAATGAATCCAATCAGCTACTTAGACTACAAGCATGTCTTAAAGACATAAAAACCTGGATGACCCTTAATTTTCTCCTGTTGAACACAGACAAGACTGAGGTTTTGGTTTTTGGACCTGAGCCTTTTGGGAATAAATTTTTCAGTCTTTCGTCCTCCTTGGATGGCATTAATCTGGCTCCAGCTCTAATGTTAAAAATTTTGGTTATTTTTTTATCAGAACACAGAGACATATCTGCTGCACTTCAGGGAGCTTTCATTTCAAAAAGGCTTACTCAACAACTAAAACATACTGGCTCAAACACTGGGTGATAACATGCAACAGAAAACTGTTTTAACAGCCACCTGTTAAACTTTTATTGCTCGTCAGGTTGCAAGGATCCTCGGTGTGACCCCGCAGATGAAAGGTCAGATGGGCGTGTCTTCGGGTTTGGAGCTGGTGACGCTGCCACACGGCCGACAGCTGAGGCTGGACCTGATGGAGAGGTAAACATCACATTCAGTCACAGTCCAACCAGACAAATCGAAGACAGATGAGGTCGGTCACATACTTTTCCCCACCCTTTGTCTTCCAGACACCACACCATGGCCATCAGCATCGCTGTGGATATTCTGGGATGCACGGGCAGCGTTGTGGAGCGCGCGTCCACTTTGAACCGCATCATCCTTGTTGCAAAGGAGCTGAAGGACTCGCTGGGCAATCTGTTTGGTTTTACGGCCCTCATGAAGGCTCTGGATCTGCAGCAGGTAACACAAACACAACTCACACACGACTAGGATGTAAAAAAACAACAACAAAAAAAACAGGTAATTTCACCCGGCATGGTTTGGTTCAACGTTTGGAGTTGGTGTTTGCTGATTCTCCAGATCACCCGCTTGGAGGAAACTTGGACGGCTTTACGAAGGAACTTCACCCAAACTGCAATCAACTACGAGAAAACACTGAAGCCTTTCTACAAGAATCTGTATGAAGCTGAAGGTACCAGGAATTTAAAAAAATCTACAGAGAAATGCCAAATCACAACTTGAGCGAAGACAAAAATACAAAAACAACAAAAACACCACGTGTGTGCTGCTTTTTGTAACACGTCTTATCTGACTGTCCTGCAGCTTCCTCTCCTCCGGTGGTCTGCGTCCCACTCCTGGTACCTCTCCTCACCTTGATGGAGCGTTCGTCAATCACACCTGAGGGGGCAGAGCTCTGGGAGACCAACGATCAGGGCTGTGACATCATGCTGCGCCACCTGGAGGCGGCGCGCCACGTTGCCAACGACGCACAGAGCTACACGGCCAACGCACAGACGATCTTAGAGGGTAAAAACAGAAACCTAAATGTTCTCAGGTGTTTCTTCTTCTTCCTGCGTCATCAAACACCTGTGTGTTTTGTCCTTAGGGTTTCAGTGTGATGAAGATCTGCTCGAGATTTTTAAGACGGACTTCCAGCTGCGGCTGCTATGGGGAAGTCGTGGAGCTTCGGTGAACCAGTCAGATCGCTACAGTAAATTCAACCTCATCTTGACCGCGTTGTCAAGGAAACTGGAGCCCCTGCCCACCACACAAACCCTAATCTGATCTCACAGACTTTTAACCAACATGATGTTTCGGATTTCCTGCAGACACTGAACACATCTGCTGGACTCAGTTCTGACTCGTCGTCAAACCAGCAGGAGGCCAAACATTTGTTTCAAATGGAGTTGAAGTTTAGAGTCCAGAGTCACGTCAGTTTTAGTTTTGTAGTCCAGAATTACGCGTCGTCTTTAGCACACAAGCTTTTTACAGGCTGTACAGCAAAAATTGAACATTTTAATTGCATAACGAGGAAAACACAACCTCGGACATTTAACAAAGACAAAATAACCCTAACAGCTGCGCACATGCACCTGAAAGACAAACCCTCAGAAACACCTGAACAATTTAATTTACTGTGCAGAAAGTTAATATCTACCTCACTTCCAGATAATCACACCAACATATGGGCGAATAGAGGAGGTACGGTCATGATTGAATTTATTACTTGCACCATTTAACGTGGTGATATTACATATCTGAACTAATTAACTCAGTCTAAAGGTTTATTATTAGGAGATTGATGATGAGGTACCATATTTTCTGCCGTACACTTCGCACCGCCATATAAGTCGGATCAGTCCAAATATGTCTAATAAAGTGGAAAAATCCATAAATATGTCAATTTGCCATATATGTTGCATCTATTATGCGTCACCGTTGACAACCCGGAAACGTGGGCCGGTGTTGTGCCAAAAATCAATTGGCTGCCAAATGTCAGCCGCAGGAGCATGCATGGGAGGATTTAAACAAGAATTTAACGAGATTAACACTTAAAAACAATTGTTTGCTCAAAAGGATAGGAAAGGTGCGTCTCAGTTTAACTTTTCCTTAATAAATGCACTTTGAAGGTCAAATCAGCTGCATTTTCAAAAGCCGATACGTGGAAACAGGAATGGCTCGCTGTGCATTTCTTTGAAATTTAACAAGATAACCACCTTAAAGCAATTATTTGTTTGCTCGACATTATAGCAAAGGTGTGTCTCAGTTGAACTTTTACTTAATAAATGCACTTTAATGGCCAAATCAGCTGCATTTTGCTGGGGTGGCGCAACAAAATGAAGCTGATTTGACGGTTGCTCCAAGCGAGCTGGACGAAGGTAGGAGGCTTCTGCAAGCTGACCGTGTCATTAATAGCCACTTTTTACCTATTACATGACGCAACAGCATGCCATACTACTTGAGTGCCATCTAGCGGCTGAATATGGTAGTGTTCAATATTTCCAGTCGGAATGAATGAAAACGGTCATATCTCAGCCAAAAATCGGTTCATAAATATGGGGAAAAATCCATAAATACGATGCTTCGGCGTATAAGTCGTAGTGCATGCAAAGTATGCAAAAAACTGCGACTTATAGGGCAAAAACTACGGTAATCAAGTGATCCTAAAACTAAAGACACTGTTCACTGCTTTCATTAATTAAATTCACATGAAGGATCAGACAGCAATCACAAAGCCCTTCACTCCATGGATCACCTGTTGAAACTGAGAACATATCTCAGGTTTTTATATACAAAATTGCATCTAAATGTGTTTAATATGTTAATTAAGTGTAATTAAAAATCTTAGCAGATTCAAAGTAGAGAAACAAAGCACCTGTATGAACTGTTCAAACTGAAATATTGTGTATTTATTTAATATAAAGAAGCTTCATCTGCATTGTACCAAACCTGTGACTTTAATTTTAAACAGCAGCTAATGAGAACAAACAATAAATTATTTTATCTTCACAGGAGCAGAAACATTTGCTGCAAACACTGAAAAATAACCACAATGTTACCAAGTGACACTAAAGTTGTACGTATTTAAAGCATGTTAATATTCGACTGTACATACTTTTTGTAGAAGACTGTAAAAAAAAAAGATGTTGGTGAATTTTAATGTTTATATTTTAACCTTCTGTGGTAAAATGTAATAAATAGTTTTATGATCCGATGAGCTCATCTTGGTTTTATAAAGTGCTAAATATCTGCAGAATGAAAACTGTGTGTGTGTTAAGTCCCAGTCTGGCAAAGATGAAACCACAAGAAATCTTAGTTGCTTATTTTATTAGAACAATATTTAAAAAAACATTTTGTTCACAAAGTGACAACATAAAAAAAGATGTGCACAAAAATATGGAGAGAAGTACTGCCATCGGTTACATGGTGAAAAGATTTACACGTTAGTATCCAGCGAACGCACCTTGTACCTGCTGCCATGTTTGTTAATTTTGAACTAAAAGTTGGGCTTCAGATCGAGGTCAGAGGTACAAAGGTTGACGGGATGACTTAAACAAAGAGAAATAATTAGAAGCATCACAGTTCCTTTGGGAACAAGAACTTTCTGCAAGTTTATCTTCAAAGCTGATTAAAGATTTGGTCGTTTTGCAGGATATTCAGTTACAGTACAGACCAATACTGCTAAAACTGATTAAAAATACAATCTGAGAGGAAAAAAACAAAAAACAAATGAACATTCTAGTAATAAGTCTGCATCATATTCAAGTTTAAGCATTAACTTGAAAACAGCAACTGGTCCCAGAGGTTGAGGGCTCGTGTTTATTCGCCGCCCCCCTCTGCAGGGTCGCCACAGCGAGCGAACACGTGAAAGATTTGACAGATGTTTTACAGGAAGTCGTCCTTTCTGAAGCAGCCTGACCTCGAACCTGACTGCAACACTGACCAGAGCTTTCATGCACGTAATTTATAATGAACTGCTCAAATTTGATTTCATTCTTCTGCTGAAACCACCAATACTTGTTCCAGCTTTTCACTTCAGACTTTTCAGCTTCGTTAAAAAATACTTTAATCACAAAAACGTTGAAAATCTTTGGATTGTTTACAGCTGGAAGACAAGTACACGAGGAGTCTGTTTTACGATTGTAACAATCAGACAATAAATCAATATTTAGCAACTTGAAGTTATGTTTACTGCAGCAGAAGGAAAGTGGGACACAAAGTTATGACTGCATTCAAACTGAAAATGTAAAAAAAAAATATTACAGCTTTCAAAATAGCCTGGAAACTTTTAGGTAGTCCTGTTTTATATAAATGTTGACATGGTAAAAACAAAAAAAGAACAAACATCACAAGTATTGCAAAACTGAACCTGCCGATCAGTTTATTTCATTTGCATCCTCCTATCATAAACCACTCACTGCTGATGGTTAAAGGACGTTTTAGGACTCGTTCATTTCATGTTCCTGCACATTTAAGAAGACAAAAGTTTGCTTTACATTAAAGCAACAAGTGATGGAACGGTAATTTCCCTGCAAACGAATGCTTTGATTTTTATTGCAAAATGATCAAACATGGAAGTTGTCACGTGAAGAGGAAGAGGGAGTTCAAGTAACAACATCATCAGCATCGTTTTGCACATTTCACAGCTTCAACGAACAAACTAAAGCTAAAGCACGACCACCTGCTGGGTTAGCTCGAGGAGAGAAACTGTTAGCATTATTTTATCCTAAATATTCAGAATGTGTAACTAGGCCTGTCACGATAAACAATAAATCAATCGCATAATAAATGAAAACCATCAACCTCATTTTCATTTATCGGCTTTATTGTTTCTTCGTGTCTCTCTCTTTCTACTGAAGACACTGGATGAAAAAGGCTCAACTCTGGTGCTCTTCACTGACCCCTCCCTTTCTCTTTTCTTTAAAATCCATTTTAACCATCCAAAATTGTGTTTTTGGATCATTAAAAGCAGCTGAGAAGCTAAGTTACGAGCTAAGCTAACAGGCCGACCTTGGGAAAAAACCTCCGTCTTGTCGAAGCTCCAAAATTCACGTTTGAAACCCGTGCCTTCGTGTTAAAAGTTGTATTTCTCTTTTTAAAAAAAAGCTGAGAACTTGTTTACTGATTTTTTTATTAAAAGCTTTGTGTGAAAAACGCTATGCTAAAGAGCTCAAACCACAACGAGCGTCTGCCATTTTGAGAACCGAAAAAAAGGAGAGACAGCCCATGTCACGTCAAGGGGCCTCCCTCCATTTTTCTTAGAGACACGCTGCTCGCTCCCTCACTATCCATCCTTCGGTTCAAACGGTCTTATACTGCCATCTAGTGGTCAAAAAAGGTACTACACACAAACCTTTACCAACATTTCTTCTTAAATATGACAATAATTACTAATTATTGTCCAATTTCAAACGATATTATCGTTTATCGCAATAATTTCTGAGAAAATCGCCCAGCAACATTTGTTATCGTGACAGGCCTATGTGTAACTGTGAGCATTGGTTTATCAAACTGACACAGTGGGCAGTTTAAAGACAATCACCAGAGAGACAAATTAATTCAAACCACAAAATCATGCAAAAAGAAGCATGGCTGCTTAAAAAGCGTTACTAAAAAAGGCGTATAAAATCATCAGAAGGCCGTTTTTGTTTAGTGGTCATAGAAAAGGTTCACGTGTCTCTCTGCAGACCTTCACTCTTTCATTGAGTCAGGTTCAAACGCTGTAGTACATCAGGGCAAAGTGCATCGATTTAATTCAAACCATCATGAGAGTGATAAAAAAAACAATCACCATGGAAACACATTCAGCATAAAACAAAAGTTAACATGTACAAATCATTCAGCGGTTAAAACTACCAGCGCGCATGTAACGCCCACGTTAACTCAAAGCCAAACTTTTATTTTTTGGCCCGTTTGGCTTTCCATACATGCAGCTGTTACATGCGTGTGTCGTCACATTCACAAAAACAGATTACATGGAACAGACTTCACATGGAGCCCGAGAGGCAAGCCCAGGTGGCTGATGGGAGATGTAGTCAGGCATGATGTGGAAAATCCTTCCACAATAAAAGCAACATGACGGTTTAAGGCAGAACCTGGAGCTCCTCTTTATAGTTTGGTTGTGTTTTGTTTTTTTAAGTGGCCCAGTCCAGCTTGAGCTGAGTGATGGTTTGGAGAACAAAGAAAGCCTGCCACCTGTTGGTGAACTGTGGACTTACGTCCCAGGGAGGATCAAAGAGAGGAAAAGGAGCAAGAGAGGCGGTCTCCTACCTGTCTAACAACCTCAGAGAGATGTAACTCATGCTTCATTAGAACAACACGCAGACGAGACATCAAAACATGCGACTGGATGAGGATGAAGGCAGGCATGAGGAGCAGAGTGGCTCAGGCAGGCAGACATCACCAAATGAGCACAGATGATGACAGAGCAGCACTGATGGTGTTAGTGGCAGC